ACACACACACACACACACACACACACACACACACACACACACACACACACACACACACACACACACCTCTACTGCACAAATAAAATTTAAAATCATATTTTAGATTGTAATCTGTAGAAAAATGTAGCAAAAGAATAAATAACGAGCATGTGTTATATGATAAATTTGTGATATCACACAATGTAAATATATTATTCCCTAAAATATGTATTTTCTACAGAGATACAACTGGTGTTCTCTAGGAAAGTTTCCTGTAGTGTTTATTTTAACGTGAATTTAACTCCTCAAAGCATGCGGTGCGTTGCATACAACAGAAATCTTGGAGACACGCTGGCAAATGAACAAGTACATTCCAAGGAATTCGACCGCAAGCTTAATTGCGGAGACGTTTCTCGTTGAGGAAGATAGCACGAACAAGAAAGATGATTCTCTCGCAAGGAAGATAGAGTCGAAATGTAGCAAGAGACGGTCTCATTCGCGGCATCAACTGCAGCGTGCTGCTCGCAGCATTTCTCCAGTGACGTAACGTGCACGCCGGAATTTTCCTTAAATCAACTTCCTTTCTCATTTCACAATTGTTGAATACTTCGGGTAATGTGTGCACGATAACGTATTTCACTGTCTTACATCCATGGGACGGTCGTGCGTATATTATACGTGACGCATATCGGTGTGAATAAAGGTGGCAAGATTGCACCCCGTGAAACGATCGATGAGCGGATAAAGGCGAATTTATTGCGGTGGCACGATGTCTGCGGTATTCACCTTCGTATTCGAAACGGAATCGATCATACGCGACTACATCCCCCTGCGTTGTATACGGCTTTCCGCATTAATATTTTAGACGCTCCACGATTTGTCTTTGCCCGCTGTATCGGTTTGCACGCGGCACAATAGCGGTACACTGTTGCCGCTTTTATGCAATTTAATGCATCACCCTTTATGTCCCGATGTGTGTCTGGGTTCAGAGAAATAACGCGGTCCGCCGTTCTACTTCGCTACATAAATATCAAAAAATGGCGAATCTATTAGCCACTTTACGTAAACGACCGCCATCTATACCTCTACTTCTAGTATTTCTACTTCTGTTTCTCTTCGTATCAATGGAATATATAATTCATCGTACTCTTATCATCAGTCATCGATAAGCATTACGAACAATGAATTGCCCGTTAAAGTATCATGCATATAGCTAATGGAATTGCTATGCCGACCTTCGCAAGGCGATTTACTCTCATTCGATCATCCTATTCAGTCATCCCATCAGCTATCCGCGTGAGTGCATCGCTCAAGCGCCGATTACCCCTCGCTTGCAAAAGCATCCTCTCGTACGAATTAACCAGAATCGGAGCGTGCGAATACGATCATTCGGGTACATAATGTACTCACGTGGATACATACGGAATCTCGATAGATATAAAAGGTCGACATAACAGTTCCTCCACCTATAGACGTGAGAAGGGAAGGTTTCTCCTCCTTTTGCTTTAAGCCACCTGCGGATCGTTCATCATACCAGTAATGCATCTACCATCCCATGCCGTTTCTCTTGGTCTCTTTTCCGTCGAGGGGGGATGATCTTCGACGCGAATGGGAGAGCCGCGACGCGGCCAATGCCGCGTCCCCCACCCCTTTTACCTCCCTTGGCATGCCATATCCCACCGCCGTTTCCCTGACACCCTACCTGATATACCCCGCGCCGAGAAGCTCCCCGAGCTATGCAACCCCCCCGGTAATGTGCGCATCAATAACCTATCATATCCAACCTTCTGGATGCGGTGGTGGCGTGCATCAGCTCCCTCTCCCTTCAACACCGTTCACTCTTCTCATCTCTCCCCCTCCCTTCTTTCCCGCTTTCAGACGCGTCGATCTCTTCGAGCTTGCAGCTAGATACTTTTCCTGAGGGTCTTTACTATGCATACTCCTTGGAACGGATGTTATGTAAATCAGGGCTCGAAAATCGTTTTCTGATAGCGGCTCGGAAAAAAATCCGGTGATTTTGCGTCGGCGCATCTCTATCTGAGACGTGTTGCATGTACGAACTGCGTTGAGATGAACGTCGTGAACTTTTTTTTTTTATTGTAATCCGCGTATTATACGAGGGGGTATTGAAAAATATTAAATTTCCAAGTGACTTTTCCAGGCACGAGCGCGGCATGAAAAACTTCAACGCAATTTGACAAACTTGCCCGTTACAAAGCGAGCCAAGAATAGCAATTCGCCTCGACAAACTTTTAACTATCCACGAGATATGAAAAAAAAAATAATGAGAAAAGTAATTTTGTGAT